GGAGGGAAAAATGGAGGGAAAATGTGAGGAAAAGGGAGGGAAAAATTGAGGGGAAAGGGTGGGGAAAAAGTGGGAAAATGGCAGGAAAAAATGAGGGAAATTGTGAAGAAAATGGTAGGAAAACTGAGGGGACAAGAGTGAGGAAAAGGGAGGGAAAAACAAGGAAAAAATGAGGGGGAAAATGTGGGGAAAATTATGGGAAAAACTATGGGGAAAAGGGTGGGAAAAACTGAGGGAAAATGTGGGGAAAAGGGAGGGAACAACAAGGAAAAGTTGAGGGGAAAAGGTGGGGAAAAGTGTGGGAAAAACTGAGGGGGAAAAAGTGGGAAAAGTGTGGGAAAAACTGAGGGGAAAAGTGAGAAAAAGGGTAGGAAAACTGAGGGGAAAAGTGGGGAAATGAGCAGGAAAAAAAAAAACAGTGGAAAGTGGGGAAAAGGGTGGAAAAACTGATGGAAAAAAAAATTAGGGGAAAAGTGGGAAAAAGGGCAGGAAAAACTGAGGGAAAAGGAGGGGGAAAATGCGTAGGAAAAATGGAGGGGAAAAAATGGGGAAAAAGGGGCAAGAAAAAAAGTGGGAAAATGGAAAGAAAAAAAGGCAGGAAAAACTGAGGGGAAAGTGTGGGGAAAAGGGTGGAAAAACTGAGGGGAAAAATGGGGATAAGGGATGGAAAAACTGAGGGAAAATGTGGGGAAAAGGGCAGGAAAAAAGTGGGAAAATAGAAAGAAAAAAGGGCAGGGAATAAAGGGGGGGAAGTGAAAAAAGAGCAGGAAAAATGAAGGGAAAAATGAGGGGAGAAAAGGGTAGGGAAGAGGATGGGGAAATGTGGGGAAAAGAGCAGGAAAAATTCAGGGAAAAAGTGGGGAAAATAGGGAGAAAAACTGAGGGGAAATGTGGGGATAAGGGAGGGAAAAACTGAGGGAAAATGTGGGGATAAAGGAGGGAAAAACTGAGGGGAAGGTATGGGGAAAATGGTGAAAAAACCGAGGGAAAAAATTAGGGGAAAAGGGGGAAAAAGGGCAGGAAAAAGAGTAGGAAAAACTGAGGGGAAAAGGGCAGGAAGAACAGAGGGAAAAAGAGCAGGAAAAACTGAGGCAAAAGGAGAGGGAAAAAATGGGCAGGAAAAATGGAGGGAAAAAATTAGGGAAAAAGGGTAGGGAAAAAGGGGCAAGAAAAAAGTGGTAAAATGGAAAGAAAAAAGGGCAGGAAAAACTGAAGGAAAATGTGGGGATAAGGGAGGGAAAAACTGAGGGGAAAGTGTGGGGAAAAGGGTGGAAAAACTGAGGGGAAAAATGGGGAAAAGGGAGGGGAAAACTGAGGGAAAAAATTAGGGGAAAACTGAGGGAAAAAATTAGGGGAAGAGTGGGAAAAAGGGCAGGATAAAGAGCAGGAAAAACTGAGGGGAAAAGGAGAGGGAAAAAATGGGTAGGAAAAAAGGTAGGGAAAAAGGGGCAAAAAAAAAGTGGGAAATGGAAAGAAAAAAGGGCAGGAAAAACTGAGGGGAAAAGTGGGGAAAAGGGCAGGAAAAATTGAGGGGAAAAGTAGAAAAAAGGGCAGGAAAAACTGAGGGGAAAAGTGGAAAAAAGGGCAGGAAAAACTGAGGGGAAAAAAAGGAAAAGGGGGGAAAATGGAGGGAAAAAAAAGGCGGGAAAATCGAACCGGAAAGGACCCTCATGATGGCCTCAGCCTGGCTGGGTCGGAAGGAATCGAATCCCAAAGTTCTCAGAGCTTCCAGGACTTCTTCCGGAGGATCTGTGGGATTCAGGAGGAGGAAATGTGGAACTTTTTTTTTTTTTTTTTTTTTTTTTTTTTCCCCGGGGTTTTTTTTTTTTTTTTTTTTTGGGGGGATTTGCTCTGGGATTTACCTGGGATGGTCCCGTCGGGGTTTGGGGGGTAAAAGGGATCCATGGGAGGTGGAGGAGGGGATGGAGGGGAAAATTCCCGAGGAAGGAAATCCAGGGAATCTTGGAAGAGTTGGGAATTTTCCGTGTTGGATCCATCTGGAGGGGAAAAAAAGGGAAAAAAATTGGGATTTTAGGAGGAAAATTCCAGGTTTTTAAAGGAAAAATATCCAATTTTTAGGACCTAAAATGTCATTTTTTTTGGGACAATTCCCACGTTTCCAGAGGGGAAACCCACATTTGTAGGATTCAACTGAAGGTTTTAAGGAGAAAAATTCCATTTTTAGGATCTAAACTTGGATTATTTGGGGGCAAATTCCTTGGTTTTAGGGCTAAATCAGTTTTAGCCCTAAATCTAAAACCTGAATTTTTAGATTTAAAAAATACCGGGTTTTAGCATCAAAAATTTCATTTTTAGGACAAAATCCCAAATTTTTAAATCCCAAATCCTGGTTTTAGAATCCAAATTTTTTTTAGAATAAATTCTCACATTTTTAAGGCAAAGAATCACATTTTTAAGGCCAAAATCCCTCATTTTTAGTGCCCAAATCCCATTTTTAGACCCCAAATACTGATTTTTTAGGACCCAACCCCTTTTTAGGATAAACCCTCACATTTCTTGGAAAATAAAAATATTTTTGAAGCCAAAATTCCAATTTTAAGGCCCAAATCCACATTTTTGACAAAAAAAGCCAATTTTTGAGGCCCAAATTCCTATTTTAACATCCAAATCCCAATTGTTGAGTCCAAAACTACAATTTTAATGCCCAAATCCCAATTTTTGAGGTAAAAAAATCCCAATTTTTGAGCCCAAATCCTACATTTATAGAGAAAATCCCAATTTTATGGTCCAAATCCTAATTTTGAGGCCAAAATCCCAATTTTAAGGTATAAATCCCATTTTTTGAGGCCAAAATCCCAATTTAAACATCCAGAATCCAAATTTTTGAGCCCAAAATGCCAATTCTAATGCCCAAATCCCAATTTTTGAGCCCAAAATGCCAATTTTATGGCCCAAATGGCAATTTTTAAGGCAAACCCCCCAATTTTCAGAGGACATAATCCCCATTTTTGAGGCCAAAATCTGAATTTTTGAGGCGGGAATTGCAGTTTTAAGGTCCAAAGCCCACATTTTAGAGGTAAAAATTGCAATTTTAAGCTCCAAATCCCAATTTTTGAGGCCAAACTCCCTTCATTTCTTTGAAAAAGGCAGGAATTCCCCAATTCCCGCTCTCACCAGGACTTTCTGGAATAAAATCTCCGTTGCACCTTTGGGCCGCTTCTTCCAGAGTGGGAAGAGATTTCTCCTCATCCTTGGGAATTTCATCCGGGAACGAGCCCAAATCTTTCTCTGTCAGCAGAATTCCAAAAAAATCAATGGAAAAAGAACCCTCTTAGTCCTTTCCAGCTCTTTTATCCCAAAAAATCTCTTCAGAAATCCAAAATTCCAAGAAATTCCAAAAATTCCCTCAGAAACACTAAAACTCCCATCAGAAATCAAAAAAATCCCCTCAGAAAGCCCAAAATTCTCTCAGAAACCAAAAAATTCTGTCAGAAACCCCAAAAATCCCCTCAGAAAAACAAAAAATTCCCACAAAAAACCCAAAAATTTCCTTAGAAAGCCCCAAAACCCCTGAGAACCTCAAAAATCTCCTCAGAAATCCCCTCAGAAACCCCAAAAAATCTCTCAGAAATCCTCTCAGAAACCCCAAAATCCCCTCAAAAATTCCCTTGAAAACCCCAAAATCCCCTTAGAAATTCCCCAAGAAATCCCAAAAATCCTCTCAGAAATCCCAAGTTCCCTGAGAAACCCCAAAATCCCCTCAGAAACACTAAAAATCCCCTCAAAACCACAAAAAATCTCAGAAATCCCAAAAATCTCCTCAGAAATCCTCAAAGTTCCCAGAGAAACCCCAAAATTCCCTCAGAAACCCCAAAAAATTCCTCAAAATCCCCTCAGAAATTCCCTCGAAAACCCCAAAATCAACTCAGAAATCCCCCCAGAAACCCCAAAAATCCCCTCAGAAACCCCATAAATTCTCTCAGAAGTTCCCTCAGAAACCCCAAAAATTCCCTCAGAAATTCCCTCGAAAATCCCAAAATCCCCTCAGACACCAAAATCCCCTCAGAA